GGAGGACATAGAAGGATAGAAATGTAGAAGTAAGCATTATGAAAGCTACTAGACAGTACATAGATCAGACTACCTTGCACACTATATACCGGACTACAGTGTGGTAACTGCAAAAACAAAATAATTTCCCAATAACATAGTATTAACTTTAAAGTGTTCTGAAGACCAAACATGACCAGTCAAATATGTACTGATATTTGTCAAACATTGATACTACATAATCTGTACTAATTGTTTTCTAAACAGATTTTACATTTCATCACCGATAAGTACAAATTAAATTTGCCGATCTTTCAATATTTGAATTATTCTAATTAAATATTTAAAATTGTTTTTTCACACCAGGGTATACAGTATTACAAAAGTAGAACTTAAACTAGTAAATTGGTGTAGAGTATTACCTAAGAACATGTTCGCCAAAAAAAAAAAATATCCAAGTTCAACCTGCATAAAAAGTATCTCATTCAAGTTAATATTCATACATGTACTGGATTATTTACCAATTAATGGTGGGGATGAGACAAATTCATATTAATGTTGTGCAATAGGTACTACTTTGACAACAGACTGAGAAAGGCATAGTAGCGTAATTTATAAGTACTTGAATACTGCACTTTACTAAAGATCACAAGATATATTTTCCTAATATTGTGTATGACTACAATAAGTCAGTTCCTTAAATATATTAATTACTCCAATCTGAAGGGTCAACACATATATATAGTGACAAACTGTGATGACAACCTTAAACAACACTGGGATGTGTTCTATTGAACCTTCATTGATGACTGCTTAAACTGTCAGGTGCTGTACAGCAAATTGCCACCTTTGGATTAGCATCCTTACATGATTGTCTATTTATCTGTATCTCACATGCCCTATACTTCCTGAGGGAGCTGCCATACGTAGGCATTTCAAATTCTTAGTGTAAATTAAAGTTACACCCATAATATTTGTCAGTGTAATTCTAACAGTGACACTTGTACTCAAAAACAAGAATGTAAGACAGGGACAAGGGATGCCCTTGGCAAGCATATGCAAATGAGAGAGCAGAAGGGAAGACAAAGTTCCAAGGGGAAAATAATGGGGATGTAATTGTATGCAAGGGCAAAAGTGAAGCAAACTATAGACTGCAGCAAGTGTAGCCCAAGAGTAAGATACATCAAGAGAGAATGCTCTATAAATGTTTCATGTATGCTGGTCAACCAGTCTTACTACTAATCTGTTCTCTAATCAATATTTGATCACATAAGTTATGTGAGCAATTTCCCACCTGTTAACAGCAGGAGGAGGAAATCCATGGGGATAGGTCACATTTAATAGTACTGTAAAGTTTATTAGTACCCAGTAATACACAATCCTTTATCCCTCCAGTAATGGGGATCCATTTGTGAATGACAAGGTAGGAATCCATTTCTGGGAAATGGGACAGGTACATTTGGAGGGGGTATTCCCCCCCCCCAGCAATATGCATGGTCGTTAGAGGCAACACTAACATAGCAGGGGACCCAGCAAAGCTTGATTGACTTATATCTATTAAAGATAAGGGACAGCCAGTTCTGAATTTTAATCACCAAAAGGAAATGGTCAAGACTCCAGGGCAATGAGAGCACTGCAAGTCATCAATCAAGTGTTGGCACAGAAAAAAAAAGTAACAGACAATGGATATAAGTTCTGCCAAGAAAATGCTCATCTCTTGAGAGATGGCTCATATAGGTCAGTCAGAAAAATAGTGGAGTAGCCAACATCAACAGACTTCGACCCTTCCGTAAACAGAAATGGCATTGAAAATACTAAAGAAAAAGGCATTTCATAACCGTAGGGAGATTATATAACTTTCTCAATAAGGGACAGACAGGTTTAAAAAAAATTCACAAGCGAGAGACTGCACAAAGGTAAGGTAGAAACAATACAAGGGGACACATTGCAGATGTGTGCCAAGAGAGAATCCGTAAAATGGCTATTCTTGCAGCAAAAAAGTGGACAAGAGAACAGGGCTCACAATAGGGGCAGCAGTCAAGGTACAGTGAAGTGTGAATGAGGGTGTTGGAGAGGATGAATGCAAAATATTGATGGAAATATGCACCCATTGTGGTAGTCTTTAAGTGATAGAAATCAAGTTTCTAGATACAAACTTCAGATGCCCAAAGAACAAAATGCCCCCCCAGATGTGAGAAAATTTATTTTCGTTTATAGCATTTATTTCAAAGGTTATGAACATGTAACAACTAGACAGATGAGTGTTAAGGCTCAACCCAAAGTTTTGTATTATCCTTTATACACAAGTTGACTCCCAAAGAGACAGAGGGATGAAAGACAACGTGCCGTTTAATAACAGTTGTAGTACTTTCGGTTGTAGAAAACTTGAAGCTGTATCCGATAGTCCAGGGCAGCATGTTATGTCACAAGCTGGAGTTGGCACTGAATATTGGAGAACTAATTTCTGTAATAGCAAATAATAGTCATCCGCATAAAGCTCCAGGCCGGAGAGAGCAGGAGACCATTAAAAGCAACCAAGAAAAAGAGTAGTGTATAAAAAACTACCTTTGGGGATGTCTTCAAATTTAAGACAAGAGACCAAGAGAAATGTCCAAAGTTGTACTTTAAATGTGTGGCTGAAGAGGAAACCTTGATGGAAGAGTGACAAAGGCCCATGAATGCAAGTGGGCTATTATATATATAGTGTATATATATATATCTTGGCATTGTCATAAGCATTCTCAAAAAGAACAGCTACAACAGTTGTTTGCAAAAAAAAAAAAAAAAAAAGACAACAGATATAAGCCTGGCTTGGCACTTTCTCCAGATAATTACCTTGTCTTATCTTGGGGTTGAACTGTTGAACAATTTCAGCGAGGATCCCAACTTGCATACCTGGACATGCGATTGTTCGTCTGTACTGTACTTACACCATGTTCACAGAAAACTAAGTGGTAATAATACAGTAAATAACTGATGCTGACATAGCTGTTAAGTATTTAAGGAATACAGGTATTCACTATTACTTGCTTAAAGCAATTCATAATAAGGTCATCAAATAGTTCATAGGGTCATCAACAAGTATCAATCAACTATTTTAAGAGCCAGTCTGAAATACTTTTGTTAATTCTGTAGCTTAGGGAATTAACACTTTCGCGCTATCTGGACGCGCCGGCGCGTTCGGTTTCGTCTAACGTAAACGCATAGTGGACATAAAGTTATGTCAACTTTTAAAATATTTGTATAAAATTCAATTTTTATCCGATTTACTTTGGGTTTGTTTCAAACTGCGCGCTATGAGGCTCTCTTTCTCACCACTAGGCTGCATGGTACAATAAGTTCATGAAAGGTGTGGATAACGTCGATCAAATGGTATTTTGTCCCAAACGGGTTGCAGGTGGGTGACTTTAGCCGTTTATACTGGTAATTCTTCCCCCATATCATGTATTATATGCATATGTCTGTTTAGGGAATTTTATTCCGATCAATATACAACCAAAAATAACTGTGTGCAACAAGTATAATCTTGACAAACATAACAAAAGTAAAAATATTTCGTGTGTGTTTGACGCTCACTGATATGTTCCAGCGTTGTTTTATATTTGTCGCTATTCTAACTTACGCTTTGTTGATATTTTTTACCTATGGGCACATAGAACATTCTATTGCGAATACATTGACATGAAAATGAATGACGTACATAGAAAATTAATGTCATGAGAGTGAAATAAGTATAAACTTTCAAAGCGCTGTGCGTCGTCCCGTCACCGATACCGGGTAACAATTTCACCACTTCCCACACTCTTGCGGGCGGGCTGCATCAATATTCAACGCTTATATTCATATCACCGTGTTGGGAATTTCATTGCGAGTCCATTGATACCAAAATTAACGCTGTAGAACAAGTGTGGAGGTGATTATAATCCCAAGAGTAAAAACATTTTGTTGCTGATGGGCGCTCACGGCGAGTCATCTACGTAGTTATTTATTTGGTGCTGGTATCCCTATATGTTTCGTGACTTATTTTACTAATGTTCTTCTAGAGAATTTTATTGCAAACACGTTGGTGCCAAAATGAAATACGTAGCATGAGAACTAAGGTCAGGAGAGTAAAAAGAGTATACACATTTTTGTTTTTACGCTTAAGCGATAAAAACGCAGCGCGCACATTCGGTTGGCTGAGTGACCTTTGCGGAGAGCGCGAAAGTGTTAAGTACAGTATGTCCTGCAGCATCACTTACAATTTAGTTCTCAATAGATTTAAATGTAGCATCCTTCAGTAACTAACAAAGTACTGTAATTTCCCACACATCAGTCATTACTGTAACAGACGCAGAACAGTCTACTTATGCAAAGTAATCCCTTTGCAATTACTTCGTGTGTACTGCTCATAATTAACTACTGTATTAGCTGTCTTTGTACTAACTCTTTTATGCAAATTCTACAGGCTAAGGTTTTTTCCTTTGTGCAACTTTAATAGAACAGATCCCTTGATGTATGAATATGGCTACAGGATAAATCTTGATCCAACAAGTGTCCATCAGTTCAAGATGCCTTAATATGCTGAACCATCCCAGAAAAGGCATACTCAGATTTTCATAATTTAATATTAATCATGCCTTTAGTATTTGCATAATACAGATTGTATGAAAATGTTTTGTTTGTGGAAAGGCCTGGCTAGTGTAGTGGATGTATCTAGCTATGCATATTTTCCCTCTACTGGGTCTGTATGACAACTCATTACAAGTACATTATTTTCATCCATTAGTCTTCAAATATTTCAATATCTGAGAATTGACAAGTTGTCTACCAGCAGTTTAGTCAGGAGCAACAGAAAGTACAGTATAGTACATATAATATGGAAGAAACTATTAAACTAATCAAGGGGAAGCCGACGCACCTGGGAACGAGATGCTGACAAGAGGAATTTGATGTATTTGGTATTAAAATAAATTACTACTACTGTAGGAAAATCCTTGTTGTACAATATACTGTACACTTAGTTTTTTATATTTTCTTTCTTTGTATCTTATAGCACTGTATTAATAAAATGCAGTGTTTGTTTTGTTTGTCTAAATATACACAAAGTTGTGTTTTATAATTTTCTGTAACAAAATTTGCAACAGGCCTAGTGAAAAATAAAAAACCTTGATGTAGTACAATGGAAACCTTAAAGGTTCAATACGTGTGCGGGAACAATTAGTCCAGTCTATCAAGATTATACTGTACTATTAACTATTATATACTGAAATATGAAATGTTGACTAGAGATAAAAAGTCTGTGAATAATGAACTATTACCTTGAAACATTTGTAGCTGAAGAACTTATGTTCTCAGCACTACAGCAAAAGCTATATTTTACAATATAACACAAGAAATGGGTGAGGCTCTCTATTTACAAGTCATAAGTCATGGATTAAGCAGCAGGAAGGGCAAGTACTCTATAAAACGTGGCTGCTGGATTGAGGTTAGGGAGGATGGTCTACTGTGCACACAGCTTTTCTTACAAATTTAAATAAGCGACCTTTCTAGCATGTAAGGACATCATAATATAATAGTATCAAAGATCACAAAACAAAATTTATCTATAAAATTGCTTTTTCAAGCATCAATTGGTCACACTAACTTGACTTGCATAAATGCATTAAATTTAATATACAATTTAATGTATTGCATTGTACTTTATCAATCTCATTTTGTAATGGACAAGATAACCATATTTTCATACATCATAAACAATATTTTGAATATAAATTCCTCGTTTCAAAGTCTGCAAGACAACTTCAAGCATCAAAGTTCATTTACAACTATATCAAGGTGGGACTGGGATGAGTCACTTTAAAGGCATAATGATGCTCAGATCATACTAAGGACACAATGGAGGTAGGAACTTACTGAGGACATAATTAATTTAGGATCACTTATGACATAATGGTGCTTGGAGGAGTGTGGGAACAGGCATTACATAACCCTTCAGAAATTATAACTTCAGAGTTAATGGTATAACATGGGTCATTCTTGAAGGGAATAATGGATCTGAGGATGCACCTGCAATGATAGGCAGTGCAGAACTTGTAAATATATGCTACAAACACAGCTTATGACTGGGAATTCTGCAGTGGCAGTGCATACACTGCCTACACACTATGGGCAATAATAAACACAATCCATAAAGGAGTTAAATCATAGGTATTGGTCAGTGTTTATCAGATATTATTATGAACCTATAGATATGCTAAGGAAATAAAATTGACTCCTATCCAACCTAATCAAAGCCTCAGGCTCTCTGATTTCTGAATGGGCTGAACTTATTGCTCAAACAGCAGCAGCAAAAGTAGCAAATTTACTTCCTAAAATCTGTCATTCATTACACGTGTTAAATGTTACTAGCAAAAAGTTGCTATTAGAAAGATTTGTAATACACACCTTTACCTTTTACTTAATTTCAGTTTGACAAAGATCCAATAAACTGTCATATATTCAGGGGAAAATAAATTTGTATTTACCCTAGTGAGAAGGAGCCAAGGCTCTTGCATGTACTGCAGTTACAAGTTTACTACATAGCAGGCAAGTCATTTTGCTATTAAATTTTAACTGGTAATAAAGAATTGTACTTCCTGTAGGAAGTACAGTACAACACTTAGCAACAAAAGACTATACTATACATAATGTTAGATTAGTACGATGTACTGATAAGATTGGTCATAAACTGATCATTTGAAGAGTGCAGTGTCACTATTGTAATGCAGAATACAGTGCATTTAGTTATTAAAAAGTGCATTTATTTGCATATAACATAAAACTGGTGACATTTATTATTACTTGTAAACTATTTTGTGGGAAGTGTTATAAATATATGTACTGTATATATAATATTTTTCATTTACCTAATTATTTTTTCCTTTCACTGGCGATATTGGCTTTTTACTCACCAAGTCCTTGCTGCTCTTCTAGATGTCCAAGGTATATGTAAGAACTTAAAAATAAAGAATTTTCTTAATAGTATTTTAGAAAATATTTGCCAGTACTATCATCAGAATGCTTCACAAATTATATACACGTATGGTATAACAAAATCATGAGGTTGCACCACAGTCAACTTATCTTGCAAGGCCAATATAATGATCAACATTATCTGGCTCTTCTTCAAATACTTGAATTACCTTCCCTATTCCTTTTGTTGATCCTTGCCGGAAGAGAAGTCTTGCTCCATTTTGGACCAATTCAGGTTGCCGGAGGAAGCGGAATATCACCGAGCCACGATCGTTTGTATGCAATCCTCGGGATCCCAGAATTCCCTCAACTACAGCTGTCTGTCGAACATTTCCTATATGGACGGTAGCTTGGAACCCACGACATATACTGCTTGAGTGATGGAGAACTTGAGTTCTTGCCTAAAAGATATATAAATCAAATTCATAAATAAAAAAAAACTAATATCCATATCTTCAACTGACACGGTAACTTCCAAGTATAACAAATTATGAATTATTCTTTTTCATTTTTAGAATTACCAGTACTAACACCAATAAACCTTTACATTTGTTAATGGTCTAATGAAAGCAAAAATATGGCACTGAGTAAAAGAAAAGTTCCATTCTGAGCTGGCCCCCATGGTTGTATCCTGAGCCAGGGCCTCCTTGTCCACCCAGGACAATTTATATTCCAGGCTCTAATTGATTAATACTCTTATCACAAGTAACCTTCCAAATGGTTTAGTCATGTATTTGGGGTGATGAATATTTCAGTTTACAACCAAGTGACTGCTTACTATAAGAAAAAGATCAAATCAATGCACATTTAACTTTCCCTATATCCAAGCACTGAAATCTCAAGAACAATTATCTCTAACTACTGGTCAGTAACTAGCTGCTACTCCAGTCATCACAAAAGGATTAGTGGAACCAGCAGCCTTCGCTTAATGCTCGGACCACCCAAGCATACAGTACTTGAGAACTCAGAATGAAAGCAACCAAGAGAGACTAGCTCGGAAAAAGAATCCTGGGAAGATGGAACACCACGAGTATAGTTCTAATCCGGTAACTACATTTAGGTAATTAAACTTAAATAATTATGAGAACCCTGAAACCAAGTTGAAGCAACACATCAATAGAAAGATAAAATATTGGCACCACAAAGTGAACACTAAAACCATTAAACCTCTTGCACTAAGACCAAAGTCTCAAGAAAAAACCAGTCTACTTAACTTAGGTGGCCTCTGCACAAAGGTAAACTGTCAGGTATTAACTAAGGATTCTCAGCTCCCTGACCCTCTTTTGGCAACCTGTGCTGTCGTCTGGTGATGATTTGCATAATGGCTAGTTACTAACCTGTAGTTAGCAGTGACAGCTGGTTTTCTTCATAATTACAATGTTCAATTTCAAGTGGATTGATTTCATCTTATGTCTTCAAGCAAGTGGTTGCTTGGTGGTAGGTTTAAATAAGACTTCATCCACTTCACCCCAAATATGACAAAACCATATGTACAGTTGCATGCTATGGTGGGTAACAGGCCAATTAGAGCCTAGCATGTGAACTGTGTCCTGGGTGAACTTTAAGGTTCTGACATGGAAAGCAACCAAGGGTCCTTAGCCTAGAAAATCCATGAAACGTTGAGAGAAATAATTTTAAACTAACCTGAAAATAAAAGCATGCTCTGGGCCTGGCTTCGGTGCTCATCAGTTTCATTCCTTTGCGTAAACTCAAACCTGGTCCCCTCAGTGACAGTGACGCCGACTGGCCAGCACACACCACTCTGCAGGGAACTTTGTTTCGGTGGATCGACCCAACAGTTACTGACACAAAGCTGCAGTTGTCCATTGGCCCTGTAAACAATAACTCCTTAGACTAATGTAAAAGTATCCAATGTATTGTATTATCTCCACAGAAAGACATGCAATGATACAGTCTGGGAATATAGGAAATAGGAAAATCATGAAATGATAGATTTGTTTGGAAGATTCTTTGCATACCTCCAGATGAATGATTTCATCTTGCTGAAATCACCGAGCAGTTGCCCTCTGCTGATTTAATAAGAAATCGTACCACAGTACAGAATTATGTACCTTAAGCTGCACAAAACTCACATAGATGATGGGAGTAACCTGCCCACAATGCACTCGTCATACATAGGAGATTGAGGGTCCCACACACGATGGCCCCCCCCCCCCCCAGCTACACGGGGGTTCACATCAGCTTCCTCAGGGCTCTTGTAAACAGACACCATTAAAAAAAAATCGTGGGAAACATTCTCGGGTGTGAGATCCTCAGTACCGAGTGAGCAACCAAGGCTGGCGCACGCAGCATGAGCTAAGAGGACTGCTGTTCAGCTTGTGACCACAGCATCACCTAAAAAGTCAAAATATATATATGTAACTGCTATTATTTAGTGATGATCGTATTACAGAAGACCCGGCTGATGAAAATTACCAGGATTCTGATAATAGCAGGATTGTGGTGATAATTAGCACTGTGCATAGTATGGTGGGAGGAGTAATCTTGGTGTGGGAGGAAGGTTCTGGACTTACCATACCAGCTTAGTGGTTCGCTATGGTGAACACAAATGTAGATACTTATTACATTAATACACATGTTATATATAACAGCAAAGTAGTATGTGGGGAGGAACCATTTTGGTGAGGGAGGTGGCATTGTCTGCATGACTTGTGCTGTGTAGGGTGGCCACTATGCTCTTTGGGCACCATACCAGCTTAGTTATACCGTTATGGTGATTAAACATAGATACTTATATTTAACGTGTGTGTGTATAGTGCAATAACACCACAAACAGTATGGCTGGAAGAGGAATGTTGATGCGTCTGGTCTTTAACGAGTGAGGGAGAGAGGGGAGCAGCAGCTGTGTGTGGCAACCTCTCATTGTTTGAACTCACCATACCTGCTTAGTAGTACAGCTATGGTGAACAAAACATGTAGTTACTTATTACACTATATACACACACGTTATATATAAAATGAGTATAGCGATGATTCATACATTTTATTACAGGTACTGTATATAAACATATAACACTTCACACTATTGAATAATATTACTGTAAAAAAAAATTAAGAAAAAAATCAGACACTGAAATAATTAGGTAATAACACACCGAAATCACAATAGCGTAGTGCATCAAATGAACAAATCCACAAGGATTTGATGTTCATTTGATGCATCACGCTATTGCGATTTGTGTGTAATGAAGTAAGGACGAAGAGGTAGAACGGCCTATTGACAGAGCTTGAGTGCATGGTGGGAATTGCGTAAAAATCCTGGTTTGTGTCTCGGAGAGACTGCAGTCTCCAAGTATGGACTGTAGAACTTCTGGTTGCAATTCTTTTAACCACGTCGTAGCGCAGTCGATTAAGGCAGCGTCTGGGATGCTCTCGGACGTAGGTTCGAACCTTGTGAATTTGATCATTTAATTAGGTAATAATATCCGTGTGGCAATTCCTGCCTGACAGCTCGGGTAGAGATGACCACCTCCAACGCTTGCTCTGTCAACGCCTACATTTTCCCAGACTTCCTCGCCCTACTGCAGCTAAAATATGTCACCTCCAATTCCCCCTCCCCCCATTAAAACCTTTTGTAAAACTACTTGCATGAATTAATGGAAAACATTTATACTTTATAAATGTTGCATATGAGATATAACATTTTATTATTTATATAAATAAAATATACATTTATATACATATACAGTACAAGTAAATAAATATATAAAATACTGCATATATGTAAATAAATATATACACAAATATATAAGTAAATATATAAACATACATACATACATACATATATTACATACATATATTACATACATATATTACATACATATATTACATGCATATATTACATACATATATTACATACATATATTACATACATATATTACATACATATATTACATACATATATTACATACATATATTACATACATATACTGTACAGTGGTACCTCCATTTACGAATTTAATCCGTTCCCAGAGATGGGTCGTAACTCAAAACAAATTTTCCCATACGAAATAATGTAAATTGAATTAATCTGTTCCACACTCCCCAAAATATTAACTTCAAAATACATTTCATACATACATACATATATATTTGATTAAATATTGCATGTATTTGATTAAACATTGTACAGTATATATTTTAGTCAATATATATTTATAAGAGAAATGCTAAATGTTCTTTCAAAATGCAAATTTACTGAATTTGCAACAATGGCAATTACAGTACATTAAAATAGTCAATTTCTTAACCATGTGGTTTAAGTCTCTGTGCAGTGTTTAACACTTGCAGCATGAAAAAGTGACAAATTTTTGTGGACGATTCTCAATGTAATTCGCCCTTTACAGGAGAGGAATTACCAGCGAAAAATGCATTAGAAAATTTATACTATATATATTAGGACAATTTTCTGACAATCTTACCAAGTAGCAATGTTGCTCCCTGCATGATGACACCTTTAGTGAGCAAGCCTCCTACAACTATGCTGCGGTCCACATGGAACACTTCATCTATCTGAAACTCTGATGGTTCCTGGAATGTCACAAAAAAAAACAGCAGTGAATGCAATGAAACACAAATTTCTGGGCAAGCCTCAGTGGCTCCTTGAAGCCACTGAGATGGTACTATCTATTAGGTCATATTAGCCGTGGAGTTCAATTGGCCTACCGAAGGCCAGCACCAAAACCTGGCCCACACAAAGAGGCGCATGGAGCAGTGACATTTATTTTTGCTACCTCACCGGGGAAGGCAACCAAAAAGTTAGGGAATCAAAACAAATTACTGCTGGCTTCAAAAAGAGACCAACTTTTCAAAACCTGCTTAAAGAACTCTCCCAACTATGTAAACAAATTATTAAATTCTCTCGAACCTAACATGAGCTTGTTCACCCCACCTCCCCGACTCATTTGGGGGGAGGAGGGGAGGTAGCCCACCCCCAGCAGAATGATAAAAGGCAACAGTATTAGGCATGAGATTCCTATCAAGAAATAACAACTTAGACTGAAGAAAAATGATGGAGGGATATAAAAGGCAAAACACATGCCAAGCTAGTTCACACTTTTTGCCTCAAAGACAAACACAGGTGGGACACCAATAACCCAGCCACCTGCTCACCATTCAAATGATGAAATACAATTGTCAAAATCTAGATACAAAGATACAAGGAGAACGTTGAAACAGCCAAGTACATCACCGGGCTGATCTGCTGGCAAAGGCGGAGCTGCAGAAAAACATTCGGATTTGAACACTGGGCTAGAAGTGCTGGAAACCATAGCTGAGCTGCCCATCAAGGAGCCAGAATAACCAACCTCCCCAGGAATGATTCCAGACTGGAATCAATCTGGATCAATAAATGAACCAGGAGAAAAATGTAAATGAACTTCCACCTCAACCAATCCAGTCAAAATGCATCCACCATGAGAAACTGACACCTCCCTGCAAGTGTGGTTTGCCCTGCGTCTGTTCCTCCCCTTCCGATTCTGGCTCCGAAACATCCAAACAGAAGCAAGGCAAACGACACTCGCAGGGAAAAAGAGGAGGCATGGATGGAACAAAGATGGAATTCAACAACACCTCCAATTCTGGGTCCCTGATTCCGGGTCTCAATTCCAAATAAGCACAAAGCTGTTAATGCTGAACATGGGCAAATCTAGCCCACAATGTGGCAGCTGCCTGATAAGCCTTCACTTCAAAAGCCAGATCATATACAATAGATTCTAGGGGGGTACAAACACCACAGGACTCATATGTGTCACTGACCCAACAGGAAGCATGACAGGCAGAAAGAATTATCATCATATTACAAAGTTGACAAACCCCTCAAACTTGCACATATTGAGAGCTAGTATGATGGGCTGATCCATGGGAAAGCATGCCAAAACACCATATGGAAATTGCCAGGGCTTGAAGATAACTTGTCAAACAGGACACCCAAGCACTGGGGATGCTTGCTGAAAGAACACTCACATCACACAGCTACAAAATCAAGAGCTGTGCAGGGAATCCATGGCATGCCATATGTATTAGTGCATGATCCCCAGTGCATCCCAACCCAACCAAAAATGAATGCCCCCAACTGTGGACCTAAACAGAGGAGTCAAAGACTCTTGAAATGCCTAAGGTATTTGCCTATTTGCTCCAGCCCATTTGCCTGGTACTCAAAAGTGCAAAGACTCAAATACACATGAGAAGTAACTGTCAGTGCAGGAAAAGGGCACACAGGGAAGGAAACCCTGAACTTGTGGCAGCCCGAAGCACCAAAGTCAGTCTACAGAAACCAGATAGAGAACATGCTTGTGAAGCAAATGCCAAAAATTTAAACAATACAGAAGCAAATGGCCCCATAAGACAAAGTCCAAGGATGCGCAATTAGCTTAGAAACACGGAGACTTACCATTCCTAATGGCAAGCCAGAAACACTACAGTAGTACGCATAGCATTGCATCAGTGATAGAACTGATCTTGGAGGGTTGGCATGGGGAAGAAATAGTTTCTATTGTTTCAATCATTGATTTTAATTGTTTGGCAGTTTTGAAGCTTCATTTTTTGTGAAACTTGCCATTGTCTGTAATGCTTTGCTGACTTTGTAGATGCTTTCCAAGTGGAGTGATGGAATGTCAATTGCTCTATATCTCTGTGAAGGGTTAGGGGGTGGCCAGGTCCTGACTGAAGTCCCTGGTAGGCTAAACAGAACTCCTGCCACTGATGTGACCTAGTACTGTAGTTAGGAGCAATCTAGTAATCAACTCGTATGTTCATTACTAGATTGTTTACTCTAATACTGCTATGGTCTAACAATGCTATAACAACAGTGACATGTGTGGCTGCTACATCAAGACAACATGGCAGGCAATCTTAAATTGAATAATCATTGGTACAAACAAAAAATTTATTTTTTTATGTCTTCCAATGAAGACAACATGGCAGGCAAGCCTAATAGGGTAAGGCTTGACAAAAGATAATGGAAATAAAAGGTCTAAGCTTGTTAACAGGAGTCAGAAATTGTCTACTCAAGTACTCACCTGAACAAAACAATCAATGCCAGAGGATGACTTACATGTGACCTGTCTTAAACTATAAGAAGGAACCAGGCAAAAATACAGTAACAAAGGTTTACATACTTGTTCCAGTTTCTCACGCTCTTTGTTGCTCATCCTTGGTGGCAGAACAAACAAGAATTTTTTGAGAAGTACTAATCCATCCCCAGTGACACTTGAGGCACAAAATATGGGCACAATGTTATTGTCCAGCTGATTGCTGCCTGCTGTAATAGCATCATCCTCATTTTCAATTATAAGGGGCACCTGCAAAAAATTAGTAACTTAGGTTTGTGGTCAATGAATACAGTACAACAATGTATTTTTCCCTGCTGCTGCCTCAAGCTCTGGGACTAGCCTGGTGTGGTTTTGTGGGGGGGTAGGGATTGGTTATGACTTTGCTGTTTAGGTTATTTAAAGCAGCCTGTAAGTTAAGGTCATAAACAAATCTCAAACCCCACAAAACTACACCAAGCTAGTTCTTAGTAAAATTAAAATTTCAACATAAAGTTGCAAATACAGGGAGACTGCATATAGAGTGTGCCAAACCTGATTGTACATACCCGTTTATACCCTGGTTGTGTGAGGAATTGCTTGAGATCATTAATTGCTCTCTGAATCTGTTGAGGTGATGCTAGATCCGTCTTGGTGATAACAATAACAATGGGCACATCTAAGGCCCGAGCGAGGCTGAGGTGTTCCTCAGTCATTGGAGCCACACCAGAAAATGCACTGTTGAAAAATATCATGCCTCAAAATCACACAATGGCCAAAAAATATTTACCCACAGTATTACAGTAACTCCATGAGTAATTAATGAACTTTGCTTTTCATAGACCTAAAACAAAAGATTTGTTTGTAAAATATTACCACTAAAAAGCTTTGTAACCCACGAAGCACTCAAAATCATGAAGCTAAATTCTAAGCAGCTTCATGTGTAATGCACAATCTCATTAAAGACAGAATTAAAGATAAGGGCAAATAGTATCTACATAACTCAAACACAAATATGATGAATGTCAGGAATCCTACATATAAATTTATATAATATACACCTGTACTAAAATAAATAATAATTCTGCTAGTTGAATTTAGACAAATGTGTACCAAACTTGATGACCAGAAATTTGAAACCAATACAATTTCTAGTAAGATCATAAGCTACAATTTTCTCTCAAATCATGAATAAATATATAAAGCTTAATATCTCACTATCCTTTTTTAGGAGAGTGCCTCCCCAGCCCATGCAAATGGAAAATGGGGCAATGATGTTGATAATCAAAAATATATATTACCTTACTACCAAAACAGCATAATGTGGAGAATAGCCCGACAGTCCAAACACAGTTGTTTTCAAATATTTCTGGTCTCCAGCAAGATCTATAAAGTTTATTATTTTGATTGACTGACTGCAGATGTCTTCGTCATCATAATCCCGACTTCTAGTACACGTCTGGTCAATCACATTGCCCTGTTCAAACCAGAACAAAATAATCTTGTACTCACTCTCAATTGCAATTGTATATATTGAAATGATTATATGAAGTGATTCATTATTAAACAAAATTCATAATCAAATATACCTGAGAGTCGAATCCCATCAACTGCAGAGATATAGAGGAGGTCTTTCCCGAACAGACCTCATGTCGGTGACGAAAAACATTGAGCCTGGCACAACCTCTTCCGTTGTCCAGTTCCCCCCGGGTCAACACTCCTAGCAGTGTAGATTTGCCTACATCAGAATTGCCAAGTACTGCTATCCTTAACTCTATGCTATACTGATCATCAGGTACCTGTTGTAAACCAAATTATTCATTATATTACTCTGTATTCTGTGACAAATAATTATGATATAGTATTATTTAGATAATAAAATATGCTTCATATTTATACATGTAAGCTTGTACACATTATATATACATATATACAGTATTGTACAGTAATGAACAAAAAATAATTATTTATGAAAAAATCTGGATATAAAGTTTGAAGACTAATTTTTTAAATACAAAATAACTTTTAAAATGAACTGTCAAAGAAATCCATTGTAGAAACCATAGTAACATACTTTTCTGACTAGAACTTCTGCAGCTTTGCGTGTCTGCCCATTGTGGCCCGATATGGTTTTTTCGCGTATAACTGTTAGTGACGCCCCAAGTTGTTTAGCCATGCGGCGTAACGTTTTCATTGAAGCTTCCAGTTCCTCTTGTGTTAGACCAAGTAGAACCCCAGAATCCTCAACTCCAATTTCATATATAGCTTCACCTAGCCCTTCGCGTAATCTCCACTGCATCTGAAAGTATATATATTGGTTGATGTAAATACTTTACAGTGAAGCTTAAATATCTACCACTGAAGTAACCAAAACCATTAAGAAATCACACATTGTTGTGGTGGGGGAAACAGTTATATAAGAGTGAATGTGACACCTTGTTGTGTGAACAGCTGTGAGAGTGAGTGTGTGTAGTGGATTAAGAGTTATAAGAGTAATAGCTTGTGGTGGAGGAAGAGGTGTGATATCGAGTGATAGCTTGTGGTGGAGGAAGAGTTGTGATATCGAGTGAGAGCTTGTGGTGGAGGAAGTGTTATAAGAGCATGAATGATAGCTTGCAACTCTTAACCTCCACCTCAAACATGCTTTACTGTTTAAATAAATACAACACTTGTAAAGTATATGTTTATTATAACTCAGATTATAATACCAATTTTAAGACATTGTTGAGAGCACAAACACACAAATGGTTCACAACAATAACAATACAAAGCATCCATATGCTCATTATTTCATTCAAATTCAGTTTGTGGTTCCTTTGTTCAAATTTAGTTGTTCTTTTGCATTCTATTCTTCAACTGCCTTCTTAGAATAAAATACTTATTTGTGAGCCAGTGATGTAACATCCCTAAAATTTGGACTATAGCACACACACACACACACACTAAACATCAAATATTTTCAGTCAAAATCAACACATTTAAAAATGTGTAGAGTTGAGGTGAATGACAAAATCCTAATACAGTGCAATATTGTAGCCTGCTAAGATTTCAAAATTGTCAAATTTATTTAGAATATTTTGAGCAATATACAGTAGACACAGCTGTATTTTGAATAGGAATAAGCATCATTTATGTTACTACCAGGTACCTATCCAATGTGATTGTGATTAAACAAAATATCCCTCAACTCACCTGTGATACAAGTCTCTTAAATCTCTCATGATTTGGATTGACAAGCTTTAACTTGTATTCAATATTTCCCTCCTGTGGCTCCGAGGGCAGCTGGTCAGGAAGTATGGCTACGCTTGGACCTCGTCGGACCCCACCCAGGGTGCCTCTACGCCCCTTGTACTGCACATCGCCGTGATTCACATTTCCATTTAGTTCATCAATATCTTGTGTTGTCTCGTTTTCCACGGTCGGATCAAATAAGCCGAGAAAGGTATCCATTGTGTCCTGAAATATGTACAGTACTGTAATTAGAAATGTATAAACCTGTACATGTAATGACGGTAAACATTACTTAGCAAAATAAATAAATAAAAATAAATAAAATATAAATAAAAAATAAAAAAAAAAAAAAATAAATAAATAAAAATAAATAAATAAAAAAAAATATAATAAAATAAATAAAAAATAAATAAATAAATAAACAAGTAAACAAATAACAAAATTATATATATATATATATATATATATATATATATTATATATATATATATATATAATATATATATATTTATTTTTATATACATATATATAGATAGATAGATAGATAGATAGCACAAGTGAACGAATGAGATGCATGCAGACAACCTGACAGACTGATTGACTGACAGACTGATTGACTGAAAGACTTACACTGATTGACTGACACTGACAGTCAGTAAGACACTGGCTGACACTAACAGACTGACTGACTGGCTGGGTGACACTGACTGGCTGACACCGACTGACGCTGACAGACTGACATTGACAGACTTACACTGACAGACTGACTAACATTGACAGACTGACTAACATTGACAGAGACTTACACTGACTGACATGTACTGAGTGAAACTGACTGACTGACTGTGATTGACTGACACTGACTCGCTGACAGAGACTAACTGACACTGATGGTCAGACACTGACTGGTTGACACTGACTGACTGACTAATTACTGACTGACTGACACTGACTGACTGACACTGACTGGCTGGCTGGCTGAGATTGGCTGGCTGGCTGAGATTGGCTGGCGTTGAGAGAGCCAGAATCAGTGTATGCAGGCATTCTAGTTCATGTGTGTTCATGTGCAATAATGTAAGTGTACATGTAGGGCTATGTAGGCTATACAAACACATTTGTATATAAATTAACACAAGAAATATGTAGAAAACAACAAGAATAGAGTTCGATCCACTATGACTAGTTACAAGGTCACGAAGCCAGCCTTGAATACAGGGAGTCATGAAGACTTTCACTTTCTTTAGTAACTGGTTTGCAACTCTAAACCGACGCGTGATATGTTTACGTAATACTTCTTCAACTAGGCACCTCTTTTATATAAACTATGTTTATCCTCACTAGGTCTTCCATTATTGCCTTGTCTCTCACTTGTTTCTCATGATGTGGGTTGTACATATAAAGCAGCCTATAGAGTATAATTATCATTCAGCTCTCACTTAAGCACATATACTAAATACAGTATTACGCTAAATGAAACTTAATTTAGTATTAATATATTCATCTTTTAGGCAGCACTAATAGATACTACAGTATTGTATAACCAAGAATCACAGTTTATATAAAAACTTAGATGGCAGCAAAATGTGAGGTAGGGAAGAATTATGACAGGATGTGGTTATAAGACAACCCCCTCCCCCACCCCCCAAGATGTTCACCTTGAGAGCTCACTTGGTAAATGCACGAAGAACTAGGTCACTTTTGCAACAGAAACTGAGCAGTAAAACCACAGTGTGAAGTGCAGTGCAGAAGCTTTGAGAGGAGTGCTAAGGATCGAAGTACTCAAACTGGGCTATGAATACCCCCGATACACTCTTTAGTGATTATACAGTATGTTACACTGTTGCTCTAATGTATATACATGGTATATATGTTCTAAGGCAGTTTTAGTGTATATATGTTCCAAGGTTGATCTAGTGTATATTTGCTCCAACCTTGCTTTAGTTAATAGACCAACCTTGGAACATATAAATAATAGAATACAGAAGAAGGGGGAATACATATTCCTGTTTCATAACCCCTGCTTTAAGTAATGGTGGTAAAATATTTTAAAAGCAAAGATTGTATTTTCCAAGGACTTAAGATTCTCTCTAGTGTTAAATTCTTGAGAGAATCTTAATTCTATTCAGTCTCTAGTTGAGAGACAATTCTCTAGTGGAATTTACACTAGAGAATTCTCTCGTGTTAAAATACTTTTGATAACCAACAGAGAAAAATGTGTAGATCTTTTAAGTTACAGATGGGTTAAGGTAATTGCATTGTATCTGAGGGTTATATAACATTTTTACTGATATCAGTCACATAGCAGCAGTTATCAGTTCATAACACAGCAATAGATCTCTCTTCTAAAAATCGTACACAAGAAGTAATAAAATACAAAGGGAATATAAAATTTGTTAGATAAATAAGGCTAACATTTAATGTGTGTGAGGAACAAAGATGATATGAAGGGTCACGTTATGATTTGCAGTACACAGAATAAGGGAAGACATTGTAGCTAACAAGAAATTATATTTTCCACCAACCTTTACAGTAATCAAGATATTTTACACATATGACAGATATATGTAAACTTTTTTAATATATGATACAGCAAAGAATTTAAGTATAGAGTTGCACAAACTAATAATTAAAACAAAAACATGTAAAATAATATAAGAACCAAAATATTAAAAAAATAGAAAAAAAGGGGGTGATGATAATGAGGAATAATTAAAGAACTTCTTATTTTCACACTTTAGGCATCTCTTGTATACAGTACGGTATTTAACTTTTTAATAAGCCTACTACCTGCTTTATAACATTTTGCTAAATAACTAATTTAGCATGAAATATAAATAAGCTTAGAATAATTTATTACACATTTAACATGTGTAATATGTTTACACATTTAACATGTGTAATATGTTAAATATGAAATAAATTGCATGCAATGTATATAAACTTATTGGCATGCAAAATGTATAAAAGTTTATACTCATCACATCCCAATCACTCATTACATCCCAATCAGATGACTGGCATGCAACAAGTATTAACTGATTGGCATACAATAAGTATTAACTGTTTGGCATGCAATTTTAGTAGGCATCCATCAGTCTTAAGTAATTGGCATTAAATAACTAGGCTTACCAAATGGCTGAAACTAAGTACCGACTGACAGGAAATGACTGACTGACTGGCAAGATATAACTATGAGTTATGGCATTTTCCCTGATGCGTTATAAAAGTAAACAGCAAAGGCATTGAACTTCTCATTGTTGACTATCTGCCAAAACTGGTTCCATCATAACTCCAGAAAATTAAGACATGTATTTCTTTCTTATCTCAATAAACATACTTGAACTTGAAGACAAAATTTAAACTAACCCCACACACACAACTCAAGAATAAATACTACAAATGCACTAAAATAGCAAATTAAAGTTGTCAAATCAAGTTCAAAACTGTACTGTACCAATATCCCGAGTGACCTAACTATTTATTAGTTCAGGGGTTATTAGGTTGTTACACATTTGACTTTTTTAAGACAAAGTAATAACTTTAATAAATAATGCTTACTAATGGTTTGTTATTGTAATTAAACACAGCACTGCCACAATTATTGAATAGCCTCCTTACAACTGCTTTGGAATTTATGATCAAGATCCAAACTCTGAATGTTGATAGCTAGGCCTATCTACCACTGTCAGATTATTAAGCATATTTGGATTGCCTTATGAATTAATGATCTATGCAATGATATCTATAAATTTTACACTCACATGTAAATAAGAGTTTAAATTTAAAGCTCTGCAAATGTCAATTTTCCGATTAGAGATGCGGGCGGAAAATCAGCGCTTGGAAATATTGACCGTGATAAATGCCATTCAGATCAATGTAGCAACACCTT